AAAGTTCGGTGGAAAGTTGACCAAGGGATTGATTTCACTTGTCTTTTTGACGAGTTGTAGCCTGGTACTTAGAATTGCAAGATTCACTGACGATGCCAACTATGTATCTGGCGAAAAATCTAGGAATGTACCAAGCCCACGATCCAACGCTGGGAATTATCGTAATTGCCATATCAGAGGACTTCGTACAAGGTGAGTCCAACTCGGTCACCCTGACAGCCCGACCTAGTTGCAAAAACAAGGTAAGACCCCTTCTACATATCAAAAAGGAGACTGTGGTAACTATCTCTTTATCCATATTCGAGGTAACTTTCCGAGACCTATTTAAAACTCTCATATCACTTTCCTATAGCAGACTGCAATCTGTATCTTATCCAAGTTCTTCCGTAGAGAATGGGCATGTTGCCTTGTTCCCCGTTGTGATACTTATTTATTATCTTTGCATTTGACCAATGAACGTGCGTCCATACACGTTTTATCAGCGTACTGACAGACTTTATTAGAGCGAAGCATGCAAATTAGTTTAGGCTGCAATTATACAAAATACAGTAACCCTCTGTGCTTCTGGACGCTCCACCAGACTTTGTCCTATAGCCTGAATGGCTGCTTGAACAGAATTGTCCGTTTAAATCGACACAGCATCAAAACTTAATAGCCCATCTTCCTCTGTATTTATCTGGTAATTAGCATATTTTAAAAACACAAGAATTTTTCATTGAATAAAGCTAAAAGTCCTCAGTTCTCTTTGATGGTATGCGGCACTCTCTTTTTATTATTGACAATTAGTCTAGGAGGGAAAATATGTAAAAGAGGGTTATGACGAAAGATAGAGCCGGAGAGTCTTCACGACCTAGTGTTTACATGAGACTTTTGCAGGAATGAGTTCAAGCTCTGATTGATGTCCATTATATGATGGCTGAAAGCTCAACCCGTTTTCACTTGAACCGAGGGAGGATGTGTCGTGGACTGCGTCAACCCAGACGTATTAAGGCAAAACGGCTAAGGTACAGCAGGAATAAGCCGCCGTCTTCTTGTGGGATCGAATTCGAATCTCTTCTTCATGCACTTTCAAACTAAATGAAGGTCTCCACAGCAGTGGTAACATGTCGAGATTATACACTGCACTACCCGAGTTCAAGTCAGGCAAGGTAGAGACTGCAGTTCAGTCTGGCCTAGTTAATACCACCTTTCTGGAAGCAAGACTGTGCGAAACTCAATAGAAAATCGAGACCTACTCATATCGTTGTTGGAAAATTCAAATTTTCGTCCTTCTATACCTTATGTGGCCTAGGTTGACTAGAACATTTGATTGAGAGGTGTATATCACTTGCAAATGATTTCCCCATAGCAAATAAAATAGAATGCTTGTGTATGCAAACAACTTTACGTGTCTATGCCTCTTTTAACCAGACTTAAGGACCCAACCAGTGCCCTCAACATAATTCGAGCCAAGGACTTAGAGTGGCGAAACAAACATATTGCATTAGGCAACTGATCGCAACTGATAGCCAAAACAAGTATATTAATGCCATTCATTATAGGCCTTTGCTATTTCTCACCATTACTTTATTGACTAGCAGAAAAAGTGTTGCATGTTCACAAAAAGTGTGACATTACTTTTTTATTTTAACTGTCCCAGTTTCTTCACATTCTCATCTCCATCTACACTGTCATCATGATCATGAGCAGCTTATCGGTTATATTTAGAAGAAGAAAGTCCACTTGCAGATGTACAAAGATACAAGCAAGCAATGTACATACATACAATACACTCATATGCGATATGAGATTTTGTTTGCATTTTTGTAGCCACAGGCAATTCTGCAAACCAAACGTGGCTCTGCTCGAGAGAATAAGAGGCTGAGAGACACCATTTATTGTCTAACTAGCCGAACTTACGGTGACTGCTGTCCTTCTGTGCACAGGTGGAAATGTGCGTCTCAAACGACTTGGAGAAACAAAAGAAGAGTATTAGGTTCCAGTAAGTATCTACCTGCAGTGACTGACTGGAGTCTCCGACCGTATGGAAGGAGTGCATGCTTGCACATATGCGCCTATCTATCCATATAGGCCTTCATCTTTAGATGAAGCTTTGTTTGAAGAGGTTAAAAACTTTGTGAAAACCGGGCTCGAGCCTTACTATACGCATATTTCCGAATATCTCTTCCATCTATCCAGACACTTCACAGTTTAGGTGCATGTTCGTGTGCATGTTCATACGTAAGGGAGATAACCAGGTGATCAATGATCTACACGTACTTTCCAGCATCACGATTGGACCATAGCTTGACAGCAGACTCAGCAAATAACTCTTCGTCAATGAAACTGACCCGGACGACTAGAGTGAGCATCCGGCTATATTGTTATACAGCTCAAGCCCAGCCTTTGTAGACTTCTTAAATGTCTGAACCGATTCTCTGCAAACTTATTCAATTCGAATAGCAGAATTTCATCTATTACCCAATTTTGGGTATCTTCCCTGTCCATACGCGTCGTCGGACATAAAGTGAACATGCAAAAAAAGATAAAATCATCACCGGGCACAAACGACAAGCAACACATCTTCTATGATACCTCTGATGATGTGCTCGGCCGGACTCAACTTCAGGCAAATGAAGAGTTCAACGAGGACGTGGCTCGCAATGTGCTCGATTCGCATTACACCCATCAGCGAATCTGTCACTGTCGAGCCTATTGCCTGGAGGATCGGTTGAGATTCAAGCGCACTAATCGGTTGCAGCCGAGTCCTCCGCGTAAATTTCATCTCTACAATGAAATTCGTTATTTCTACATTTTCTCCAATCACCCGGACACCGTAGTTTTCTGCGTGCAAGACCTAACCTCACGACGCGACCACTACGAAGTGCACCGTTTCCACGGCGAGAGAGATGCCAATAATGTCTGCGACCTTGTCAACCAGGCCCGTCGACATCCGCAATGTCGTCTTGTGCTCAACGACGTCTCGCCTGACGAGGGAATCCGGCGCCAGTTATCCAGTGTCACAAATATCAGTACTGGCACTCAGGAGTGGGCCGGTCGTGAACGTCCCGCCTTCATTGAGGAGGTATTGGTTACCGAGCCGGTCGAAAATGTACCATCGGTACGTCTGCATCAGCAGTCTCGGAATGTGGTGTTGGACAATGCATCAGCCTTCGAGATGTCGATCACACCGCAAATGAAACATCAAAATCTTGCTAACAAGCCGGTCTACTATCACACCCTCAAGTCTGGCCCTGTTCGTGAGGTGCCGGTGACGGAACAGGCTTACTTTACGGTTCGTTCAAGTAGCAACGGTTTCCTACCGAGAGCTCATTCTGAGGCGGAAATCAACAAAATGCTCTCTAGCCGGCCTGTAGAGGCTAAGACACCGACGCAGGGACGATATTTAGCCTCAAATCATATGCATCAAAGTGAACTGGACACCGACAATCCAGACACTTGGTTCGTGGACCTCAAATATTTGGACTCTGACCCGACCAACGGGACTCGTCTTACGGATCATGGGCCAATCTACATGTTCACTGCGCACAGTTTGGTGCCGATGACGCGGATTTACTCGGAATGTTACTGTGACGAAGAGGATGATCGTGATACAGACTACGATACTATTCATAGCCGAAAAGCTGGCATTCATTCCGGCGTTGGTAGGTTGGGAGGCGCAAAAAGGGGCAAGCAGCAGAAAATTCGTGCCGGCAACCCCAGAGGGCACATAGTTTACAGTAACCCCTATGATATAAATGACCCAAAGATGGCTTCATGGCGTGAACCCACTGGCTCTCGGGAAATCCAGTTATAATAACTACTCGTATCAGTTATTGCTGCTGTTTTATCGTTAAACAATTCAAATACGTCACCCAACCATTTCTCCTGGTGTTAAAAGTGCTCTAATACGCATTCTTAGTGCAGTTTAAAATATATTCACTTTTTTTGATAAACACAACCATGCAATAGAATGGTTATCGATAAATAAGTTCAATACTTTTCGAATTTTATTTTCAAACATTTCGGTAACTGTCTTTCTGAAGACTAGCGTCATTTTTGGCATAAGTGTGCAGTTTTATGCACTCATACAAATATAAGTTTACATATTTTTTGATTATCCAATAGTTAATAAAATAGCTTTTCATGCTTCAGTAGAAATGAATATGTTCTTCTAATAAAGGTAATTAATGAATACACAGTTTAACTTTTCAAAATTATTTTAAATAGGCTATTTGCAGAATTTGTTAAATGTACTAAAAGTAGTGCAGCTTTTGGCTTCGCCTAATCCTCAACTGCACCCTTCTTGGGATTCAAGCTGAAGTTGACCATTAATTGATATCGTAGCCATTTAGCTACGATCAACTATCTATCTATTATATCTTAGCTCTTGAAGAAGAGTTATGCTCACCCTATGTCCCATAAGGTGACGAAAGACCGGTAATTAAAATTCCCATAATTATATGAATTTTACAGCTTAATCCTGTCACTTTGGAAAAATTCGGCT